TGTTTTTTGTCCACCACTCCCACCTCATCATCTGACCCCTCTCTTTTAAGAACGTCGTGTGCTACGCTTCTGCATCATCTGCTATGTCTTCTACATTATATGTTACACCTTCTCTCTATTCAATATCTGCATTATCTTCTCTATCAACCATTCAAGCATCATCATCGGTTGGTTTTTGTAGTTCCTCTACAACTCCCATGTCATCTTGTGTTTCCTCTTCTCTTTTGAAACTACAAACGTGCCCGCTTGCTTCTTCTTCTCACTCTTCAATAACCATGTCTTCTTCTGCTTCTTCTTCCCTTTAAAAAAACCCTTTATCCTCGTCAATTGTTTCTTCTCTCTCTTCAACATCATCGCCATTATCTAGTTCTTTTCTTTTGACAAATTCTGAATCATCACCTGATTTTCTTTCTCGATCTTCTTCAACATCCATTTAATGATGTACACCAGGTACAATACCCCCAGGTACCACGAAACTTTGTATTGTTCAGCAGCATGCCACCCTGCATTACTTCACAACCTTAGGGCCTGTTTATATGGAGTTGAGTTACCCAGCTGAGCGAGTTACACGCTCAAGGTTTGACAAAGTGATCTGTTTATATGGCACCGGGTAACTCGGCTAGCACTTCCGTTTACTAATCTTAAATGAAGTTTTGCTATGCTAACTTCAAGTGAAGGCACGATATTTTAAAAAGCCTTACAGTTTCGCAGCAAAAATGTAATGGGTGAATATAAGATTAAAAATTATGATATACGTATGTTTTTTCTGTAATTATGCTGCAAGTACAGGGCTTATCTTTAATTTTGCAAAGTTACGTGTACATGAGGAATGATATATTATTGAAAGATCTATTGTTAAAGCGAAATAAACACGCCGAAAGACTGAAAAAACGAAGGATGTCGAGAGTGGCACGAAGACTTCGTTCTGTGTGTTACCAGAGGCAGAATAGATCAGTGGTGGAAAAATATGTTAAACGGTAGCTTACCCAACGAAGAGAGGAAAAAAACTTTAGACTTTCCAGCATCCAGTTTTTCCAATTATTAAATGAGCTTAGGCCATACATTTCCACTCCAAAAAATTCTCCCAACTATCGTTCACTTCAGGCTCATAAACGACTAGCAATAACTCTTTATTATTTGAAAGACACAGGTTCAATTAAAATGACAGCTAATGCATTTGGGATACATGTTTCAACTGCCTCCCGAACAATACATCTTGTTTGTGAAGCAATAAGTTCGAAATTAGGACCAAAATACTTGAAACTGCCAAAGAATTATGATGAAATGAGTAAAAAAATTTCTGAATTTGAAGTGCAGTTTGGTATGCCCCAAGCATTTGGATGCATTGACGGCACTCATATCCCCATATTAAGGCTGACGGGGAATTCACAGGATTACTTTTGCTATAAGATGTTTTTTCATTAAAATGTGCAAGCTGTTTGTGATGCAAAAGGATTATTTTTGGATGTGGACTGCCGCTGGCCAGTTAGCGTGCATGATGCAAAAGTTTTTCCAATTCATGTTTGAACAAAAAGCTACAAAATGGGAAATTCCAATAACCTATCTTTTACTTATTCCTGGGCACACGAAAGTTGGGAGCTATCTTATTGGAGATTTAGCCTACCCTCTCACACCACACTGCATGAAAGAGTTTGAAACATGTTCAACTAATGCAAAAGTTGTCTTTAACAACATGTTACGTTCAGCAAGGAACCCCATTGAATGCACTTTTGGAAGATTAACAGCTCGGTAGAGCTTCCTCACAAAGAAAGTTGACTTAAAATTAGAACTAATTCCTGCAGCAGTTTACGCATGCTTTGTCTTACATAATATTTGTGAACAGCATATGTTTCATGTGGATCTATTAAGTGTGGAAAAGCAAGTACACCTTCAATGTACAATGAACAGAAAACAAGAAACATTCCAGACCCTATATTTTCTGGGAATCTCGAAGAAGGGGCAGTAATTAGGGACATAATAACCTTGAATATTGAACACAATCTTCCTCACCACCTTACTGGATGATTTGCATTAAATTAAAATCACACTAATATAGAATGATGTGCCTAAAGTCACAATAACAATAAAGTATTCAATTTCAAACATAAAAAAACATGTTCTTGTACTGTACTAAGATTACCAACATAAGATTGTGCAAATAGCATTGTTCTTGTTAACAAAATTAAACATAACTTATCATAATTGAGTTGAAAAGTGAACCAATGGATATTATATATACCAATACATGCTAACAGTTATTTTGTCTAACAAATGTTTGGTTTATCTTTATAAACTAAACAATTAAACATTGTTTAACTCCATGTATGTTGATTCAATTGAAGTCATTGTTAAATGATGGTCCGTGTGGATAAATATTATTGGGGTTAAAAACATGTCCTTGGTTTTGCCTGGCATGAGGAAAAACCTCTCTTCCAAACTGCATTGGACCCCAATTCTGAGATTGCTAATTACACTGGACAAGAAATTCTATACTTTTGCCCATGACATTACTCACTTGTGCCATAGACTGACTTATTCCTTCCAAGGCATTAGCCATCGCTTCAGTAGAACCTTTAATCGCAAAAATTAACTCCCTGCGATAAACAGTAGAATCAGTAAATTTACTGTGCAAAAGAATAGCTTTTTATAGTTGTTTGATTGTACATTTCAGTAATACCTACATATGCACTTGTACTCTTTCATTTTAATATTTACCAGCTGTTTATTTTAATGCTGAATCTTAGAATTCTGTGTAAACTATCCTACTTACGTATACAGTTTGTATATTGTGTTTTCTATGTTTATTATAAGTTTATTACTTTAAATACTGCCAGATTGTTGAAGTAAATGAATTCAAAGATCTAATACAAAGTTGAGCAAATAAATTAAATTAAATTAAATTAGGTAAACAATAGATAATCACTTTCATTAGACATACCAAATTCATCACTGTCTGACAGATCACCCTGAGTTGAAGCTAGCTCTGAATTACCATCATTAAAAGAACAGCTATCGACACCCACTGAAAGGGGTTCTGTATTTGCAGAACTGCCCCAAATACTACGAAGATCATCGTAGTGGTCGCAAACCAATTTTCCAGTACCACAGCGAGTCTCAGCAATTACAGCTTTTGAAAATCCTTGGTGCAAAATTTTAACATTTTCAACAATACCATAGTGCCGTTGGGCTATAAGTTTTTGATCTTCCTTGATCTTTGCCTTTATGATCTGTTTTTCTTGTTCATTAGCTTCTGCCTGTGGTCTTTCACTTATATCAACAGGTCCAAAGAGAGATTTGTCATATTTGTACCCTGTCGCCATTTCTTTTCTTAAGGTTTTATACTGCAATGTTTTGTCGGCATCAAAGTCGACGTTGTTGAATTCACAAGATGCTTTGTATTCTTTCAATATTCCGATAAGATTCGAGTGCATCTCTTCAGTCCAGCGAAATACCTTCTTCTTTGTTTGCTCTTTGCGCTTTTTTGCTACGGGTTCAGCCATATTGTGTGTGGATGCCTCTTAAGTACACATGCATACCAACAGAGCCAATTTTAACGCCTCGCCGAGTTACCATGGAAAAATTCATCCTGCCTAGCCGGGTTGGACAAACCGAGTTCCGGCAAGGCGAGTAAATCGGATGTGTCATATAAACGATTCACCGGGAAATGCATTCATTTTATATAAGGGCCGAGTTACCTGGCTAGGCAAGTAACTTGCTCAGCCGGGTAACTCGGCTCCATATAAAAAGGCCCTTAGATGAACTGTAATGCATGAGATATTTCTGTTACTAGAAAATAAAATCAAAAATAGAAAGCAACATACTTGTGAAGGCAAATAATAGAAAAAACTGACAGTGTTTACTTCCAACTATCCAAAATTACAATTTAAAATTTTTTGCTAAAATATTGTTGTGGTTCTTTACATTTTAAAATCCGTTGTTGTAGTTCATGAGCTGAAAGTTGTAGGCATTGGTAGCTATACTATCTGGTTTTTCAGCAAGATTAGGACCATAGTCTGTATGACCTGCAAACTTCTTTGCATCGCATGCTTCCTTCTTGATAGCCATCTCATTTACTAATATAATGCAATCTTTATACAATAATACAGTTATTTACAAGCATTAAGATTAATAATAGTAAAACTTAAAGATTTAATAAAAGATATATTACATAAGCGGATCCATTGTACTAGAATGGGCAACCTACAATTTAAGACATATGTCGTTTGAGAAATTTGGAATAAAAGAGTTTTTAAAACGATTTGTGCAATATTTAGTTGCATAAAATATTTTATTTGTCCTTAGCTAATTATAAATGCCATCAGTTCTTTAATGTAATAAATTGTAAAGTTTGTGATTCTTATCCTTCACTATATCATTAAAGAATCTCCTACTGAGAGATTCACGTCTGTTGAATAGGGTCGGAATATCAGCTGTTGTTAATGCATCTTCAAGGTCCGAATTATCGCAAAAAAATTGCTTTGCAACTTTTTTCGAATAAGTTCCTACCGACCCCCCGTTCCGATCGACCCCCGATTTACTTTCCTCTCGCAATTTTTACAATGCACATGATTACGCTAATATTTTTTATTAATATTAAAAACTATAAACTAAAATCCTCGCATTCGTTCTCTTCCAAATCGGAAAGCGTAGCTGCTGCAATATCAGCAACGTTTGTACCATTTGGGTGGTTTTGCACCATTTGGGCGTCTAATCTTTAGCTCTAGCCAATATTGGAGAGCTTCCTCCGCATTGAATTCAGCTAGCGGGCATCCTTCTTCACCAATTCTTAGCTGAGCGTCGAGTCGTTGGGTACTCAAACGATTTCGCAGAGTTGTCTTAATTCTGTTCATTCGGCTAAATAAACGCTCCACCTTGGCATTCGTGAATGGTGTTATGAGCAACAATTCAATTATATGCAGTACAATTTTGCACTCTTTTTGCATTATAACATTTTCCCAGATGCTTTGCCATACATTTACGTATTTTTCCTTTTTTTCTGCTCCAACTATGTAGCTTTTGAGGTGGCACTAGCAGAAGAAATATTCAGTTATCCAACTTTATGATAAGAAAGGAAAACGATGCATTTACTATTCAAACCTTCAAACGATTCCATTCTGAGACGACTTTGTCAATGTTGCATCAATTCTGAACAAGTAAAGCCTGGTAAAACTCTTTCAGTTCTAAAATTGCCTTGTCGCCATACCGCTTAAGTGCTTCGTCGTCCTTGGGCCACATTGCAAAGTCCAATATGACTGGCAGATTTTTAAAACACCACACTTTCTCGGAACTCTTCAAATCTTCCTTGCACACTCCTAGACACTGCATTAATAATTTTTTCATAAGTTTTCCTTACTTTCCTCCGGGACGCATTAAACCCTTTTAGCTTTATTTTTTGGTAAGAAACATCTTCAGAAACAGAAAAGGCAATGTTACGACATAAAGTATTACATTTACAAAACACTAATTATAACATTTAAAAGTACCTGCTTCATCTTCATCGTCTTCAAGTTCTTCCACTTGATGCCTGGTAATTTTTTGACGTTTTGTCAAAGGTTGGTGAGGTTCTACTGTGTAAAAAAACATTTCAAGCGTTCGTAAAGTCAGGGACTCATTCATCAATTACTTACCGTCGTCGGACGTAGCTTCGCACTCCTTCAAAAACCGTGTAAAATTAATAAGTTTTTCGGAGTCGTCCTGAACGCATTTATTGATCAATTCTTTTAGTTTGACCATAGTCCACTCAAATTCATTAATGCGCTTCACCGCTTTAACAGGGTCATGAACTTCCTTTTGGAATCCCAGGCTAAGAACCTAAAAATAAAAGTCACAACTCTTAATTTTGCACCAGATTATATATGTTGTGATGAGACAGCAAATCTGAACATTGAAGCGTTATACTAATTACCTTCAAAGGCGTCAAAATGTCAATGTATACTGTCATCAGCATAGGATACTTTGCATACGTCCATTTTGACAAAAAACCCTTCAATTCTTCTCTTTTTGCTGGGACAATGACTCAATGTGTAGCATGTATGCGACATAATTGGCAACAAAGGTCTCCATGGCTTTCAACTTGTGGGTGATCCATCTCGTTCCAAAGGCTTTGGCTGGCTTTGCTATGCTCTTTTCGAAAATCTCGCTGAATCCCTTCAATTCGCGATAGCGCTTTGCCGACTTTTGGTACAAGTAATACAATTTAGTCAGGAGCTCATCCACTTCGTCAAACTCTGATTAACTCTGATTAACTCTGCAAGTCGGTTTATGTTACCCAAATTTACCGAAGCTCCATCAATGTTTAGCGCTGCCAGTTGTCTTGGGAAATTGTTCATGTGAAACCGGGAAAAGCAATCCTGTATCATCTTCTTAAGGCCATCTGCACTTGTTGATGTAGGTGATTCAATTGCTAAAAACCTTACCTTACTTGTATTAAAATTCGAGTCGTACTCATTTTCGCTCAGCTTTAAATTCGCGCGATTTAATTTCGCGCACTTTGTTGACAATTATTCGCGCAGCTTTAAATTCGCGCAAGTAGTTTTGTGTGCTCGTTCTTTTTGGTTTGTTCAAAAGAACTATTAATAATTAACGCATTTATATTGAGCTTTCTTTATTAAGAAATACCTCAATATTCATCAAAAAAGCGATTGGGTGGCCTCAAAAATGACTTCAAAATAAAGCGTGAGTTCACTATCCCGATTTTGCAAGCTCTTTTTTGAATATGGGGGCAATATAGAAGCATGTGTGTGTGACATCAAATTTCGTCGATCCCCATTACCACAAGGAGGCTTGGAGATTCCTATTACCCTAATAGTCATGCAGAACAATGCAAGTTTTAGGATATACAGCAAAATGCAGGCATTCGTGACGGAATACTACGTAGAACCTGAGATAATCCCGACTGAAATTGTACAGGATGAAAATGAAGACATTTTTGATTTTTAATGTTACCAGGACAACTAAAAACATATGTCAATATGTATATGCGTTAATAAAACAACTGATTTGCATAACCAACAATGAATATCTCATGTAACACTACGAAGCTTTTCGCGCGGATTATATTTCGCGCAGTACTAAAATTCGCGCACTCAGCGCTGCGCGAATTCTAGTACTGCGCGAATTTTAATACAAGTAAGGTATTTGAAGGATACCTGTCCATTGAAAAAATAGAAATAACGCATCTAAAGACAAGAATCGAAATAATTCAGTTCAGTGTATTGAATTTACCTTCACTGCTTATAAAAAGGAGATACAAAACTTCCTGTTCAGAAACGCCGTTGTCAGTGCTGCCGTCGGTCAACAAAGAAAAATAGCGTGTTTTCTTTAATTCAGACATCAGCTTCTGCTTGAGTTTGTCAGCATTTGAATCAGTGATGTTTGCCATAGCACGCTCGTTTCAGAATTTGGAACTGCGAATCATTCCGTTCATTTCGTTTAACGTAATGATGCCCTCACTATCGCTATAGGGTCTTTCTGAAGTGGCTAAATAGTAGGCAGTGTTGAAACGAGTAATCATTACTTTCCTGTCAATCTCTGCCATTTTCATCAAACCGCTTCCAAGTGGAGATCGTTCAACAACTTGTGCGCCCAAGGACTTCTGATCAAAAAGACGTTTTGCATGTTGATGTGCTTTACCTTGGACATGTTTTTTCAAGCTATCTAATTTGACTGATGTTGTCCCATCTGTCCATGCTTGCGAAAAACCAGCTATTGAAGAAATTGTTGAGGAGAATTCCACACAGACAGAACATTTTAACGCTTCTACTTTTTTCTTATCTGTACTAAGACTTTTGATCAATTTAACGTTTAAATCTCGCTCCCAATTTTCTACAGTCTTTTGCTTCGCCATCGTTAACGTATGCAGTGTGTATTAGTTTGTGACTTTGTCACTTCGCGTTTTCAGATAATATTGAAAATGTTACGTTTCATATTACAATTGATAGCGACGTTTTTTAAAAAGTTGCGACCATTTTAGGATAAATTCCTGTTAGTCACATTCCTGAGGCATGATGTAATAGCAACGCTTTGAAATTATGCAAATAGTGCAAGAAATTTGATCATTTGATATTTCTTTTGACGTATTTTAAAACTTAGGGAGTGGTCGCAAAGTATAATAAAAACACATCCATCACAGCAATATAAAAAGAGTGCTTTCAGTAAGCAAATTTACATTAAATAACAAGAAATGCGAAATGAGCTTCGCAATTTTACGAAATTTGCTTCGCAATATTTCGCCAAAATCGAAATCACTTCGCAATTTGCGATTTGCGAAGTGCTAATTCGGACCTTGATCTTAATAATGTACTCCAGGATGCCCATGGCTCATGTAATGTTTAGAATTTATCTTCTTCCTTTAGTATCTATCTATTGTGCTCTCTAATATCTGTTTTTCAACAACATTTCTCATTCCTATATATATACATGTCATTGTCACTTTTAAGGGGTGTGTCTACAACACTACATCCCTCCTCAACTTAACGGATAACAAAGTCAGGGTTTATTGAGTTCCCATATTGTTCTGTTATTTTTCTTTGTCAGGTTGATCTCCTCCAGGCTGGCTCTTCTGGTTCTGGTTCTTCACATTCTGGTACGCATTGGTTGTGTCTGTACGGCTGTTCGTGGATGTTGTATTCATCTTCATCAGTTGATTCTCTCAACTTGTCTCTTATCTTTTTAAAGAACGATGTGTTTCTGGTTATTTGATGGTTGTGGTTCTCAGCGACTACTTTAGCTCCTCTACGATAAATCACTGTGTATGGTGTTTGCTCAAATTTTGTTGTGAATTTATCTTTCTCCCTTTGTTTTAAGAGGACTTTGTCTCCCACGCTGATATCTGATTCTTTAGTTCTTCTTCTTTTGTTTGCCAATTCTCTTCCTTTCGATTTTGCTTCAAAATCATTTGCCTGCGCCTCTTTATGTCTATTTAGCACTTTGTCCATGAGGTTTAGCATTGGTAGGATACCTATCAATGGTCGGTGAAATAGTAGTTGAGCTGGTGGGACATTGGTTTAACAATGAGGCGTAGTGCGATAGCTGAGTAAGAATCTTGAAAGTTCTTGTGTCCAATTGCGATGTTCCGCACAGGCTATTTTGATCGCTTTAGCTAAAGGCTTCATGAATGCCTCGGCCTCAGAGTTTCCTTGCGGCCACTACGGGATTGATGTCTCGTGCTTCACCCCAAGTTTATGTAGATATTTGGAGAATTCCTTACTGTTGAACGGTGGACCGTTGTCAGATTTGAACTTTAATGGGATTCCATGCCGTGCAAAAATAGCATCTATTTTAGGGATCAGTGCTTTGGCGGAGGTACTTGAGATTATTTCGGCTTCTGGGTATCGCGAATACTTATCGATCAGCACGATGATATATTGTCCAGTAGGGAGCGGACCATAGAAATCAGCATGGATGGTTTGCCAAGGGCCCTCTGGCATTTCTGGACTTGCTAATGGTTCTGGTGGGCTGGTTGATCCATTTATTGACATGGTAGACAAGCTTCAATTTCATCCTTGACGGCCTTGTCCATATTAGGGAACCAGGCGTATTGGCATAACAAAGCTTTAGTCTTGGCTATTCCTTGGTGGCCTTCGTGGGCCAGCTTCACAACGCTTGTTTTTAGGGTTGTTGGAATGATAATCCGCGTTCCTCGTAGGAGTATGCCATTCGTGTTGTCCACAGATATTTCATCTTTGATGCTAAGAAATGGTTTCACAGACTGATTGCTCCAATCACCCGACTCGACCGCTGTTCTTACCGCCTGAAGACTTATGTCTTTGGTCGTATGTTCTTTGATGACTTCAATTGATATGGCATTTTGAGCTGCATTTGTCGTGACAAACGTGATGTATTCTTCGGCGATGTTGCGTTTGGTAGTCTGTAATTGTGGGTGTCTGGATATGTAGTCTGCAGGGTTCGTGTCACCTGGTCTGTAAATGACTTGAAAATTGTATTGTTGAAGTCTCAATAACCATCGCTCAATCCTGGCGGGAGGTCTGGACCGAGGATTATTATAGATAAGTTGTAATGGTTTGTGATCAGTGATCAGGGTGAACGATGCCCCAAATAGGTAGATGTGAAAGTGTTCGATACCCCACACGATAGCAAGGGCCTCCTTTTCAGTTTGCAAATATCGTTGTTCTACTGAGGAAAGAGCCCGACTAGCATAGCAGATCACGTTATCGGCGTTTGTTTTAGGATCTCTTTGTGTTAATATGGCTGATAAGCCAACTGGGCTTGCATCCACTAATACCGACGTTTCTTTTGATGTATCAAAATGACTCATAACTGGACTGTTGGTTAGTGCATTTTTTAACTTGTCATAAGCTGCTTGGTGTTCCCACGTCCATGCAAAGCGCGCACACTTACGTGTTAGTTTTCGAAGGGGTTCTGTAATGGTAGCATAATTTTCGATAAACTTAGAGCTGTAATTTGCCATACCCAGTAAGCTTCTCACTTCGCTGACCGTTGTGGGTATTGTAGTTTTAACGAAAGCTTCTACCTTTTTTTGGTCCGGGCAGACCCCATGTTCTGAGAATAATAACCCAAAAAACTCAAGGTTCTTCTTCAGGAACTTGCACTTTTGGCAATTAAGTGTGAGATTGTGATCTTGTAATCGGGTAAGAACTTCATCCAGTGCACGGTCATGGTCTGCTCTATTACTTCCAAATACGATTATGTCATCAGCAATGTTCTTGACCCCTTTAATTCCTAGCAATGTTTCCTGCAGATTATGTTGAAACAATTCAGCTGCGGCATTAGTTCCATAGTTTAATCGCTTATAACGATAGAGACCGCAATGAGTTGAGAATGTTGTGATGCTGCGGGATGCTGGACTTAGCTCTAGTTGGTGGTATGCTTGAGCAAGATCAAGCTTTGAAAATATACGTGCTCCATTGAGTTCCATGGATACAGCTTCCACAGTTGGTATTGGATGTCTGGTTCGTTTGATAGCCGTATTTGCTATCCGCATATTAACACACAATCGAATGTTACCATCACGCTTGGGAACAATCACCACCAGAGAGACCCAGTCAGTGGGCATGCCTTCAGGTATATCTCTGCTAATCCATTGTGCTTTGCACACGTGGGTTCGTATCCCATCTTTGTCGCCAATGTAATGTTTAGAATTTATCTTCTTCCTTTAGTATCTATCTATTGTGCTCTCTAATATCTGTTTTTCAACATTTCTCATTCCTATATATATACATGTCATTGTCACTTTTAAGGGGCGTGTCTACAACACTACAGCTCTCTTTAGTATACGCTCAAAATCATCAGATAGATATTTTCGTAGAGCAGAGTGAAATACTTGGCAAGAGTACTCAAGAAGTGATCGTATTATAGCGCAGTAAAAACAAACAAGGTCTTTTTTATCTACGTTTCAACTGCTTAATGAAGTATAGACGTTTTGTTGCTTTTTAGTGATAACATTTATGTGGTCGTTCCATTTCAAATCATTTCTTATTGTGAGTCCCAAAATTTTAATATTTTGAACTCTTTCGAAAGGTTGATCATTGATTAAGATTTCATTAAACGTTGGAGTCGTTTTTCTGAAATATATGATCATTTCTTTACATTTTCTTGGAATAAGGGTGAATTTATTTTCTATTGACTATTTAGCAATGTGGTTGATTTCTTGTCGTAGATAGGTTTCCCAATCATATGAAATTAGTGCTGAAGCAGTGGTGTCATTTGTAAATTTTCACATTAGTGACTCATTAGTGACTCTTAGTGATAAATGATGCTTTGTGCAGTAGAACGACATCGGCGATTTTCCACATCCTAGGAACTTGACAGTTTCGGAAAGACACATTTAAAATTAGTGTGATTGGTAACGTGAGAATATCTGCATAGTCTTTCAGTATCCAATTAAGGAGACCATCAGGACCACTGGCCTTTGAGCGACTAATTTTTCTTAACTTTCCAACAACCTCGATGTCGTTGACTTCGATGAACTGGTCGTTCTCATCCGTAGAAACATATGCATCAGGAGATAGCGGAGAATATTCCTGCATCACATTTATAAAGGATTCGTTGATTTTATAATATAAAATTATTTCATCTCTATCTAAATCTGTAGATAACATGTCTTCAAGTTTCTTTTGGTTAAATTTACAGTTTTCACACAGTTTGACCTCTTACCACCACTTATTAGGTTTTACATTTCTACCGTTTTCAACTTTAGACTTATAATATAGTTTTCAAATGCTTTTCCTTTCTTTGTTAACCTTGTTTCGAAGAACTTTAAATAAGGCAGCGTTTCCAGACGCAAATGCTCTTTGGCGTCTAGAGATTAGTCTCTTTAGATGTCTAGTCATCCATCGACGATCATTCTTATGAACCTTGAGGGAACGTTGGGGCATTATTTTGTTTAGTCCATAGTTAATGATATCAGTCATTATTTCGATATTCTGGTCACATGTATATTCGTTGGAGAGCATATGGGACCATGGGACAGCAATGAAAAATCTGCCAAGACTAGCCTTTTTACTTTGTCGTTCTCTAACTTTTATCTCTAACTTTTATAACTATTGACTGAGATTGGGAAGAAACGGTGCGTTCTTTTGGTTTGACTTTCGTTTGACAGAATATTGAAAGTAGAAATAGATCTACGCAGAAATGGACCTTCTCCATAGAAATGGGAAATATCGGAGGTGGACCGGCTCTAGTTGTCAAATATATCAAATTCTTACAATTCAAAATGGCGGCAAAAATTACAAAGTGAAAACACAAAGTGAAACTTGTATAGCAAAAGTGACACCTTTAAATGGTGCGTAGCGAATGTGGCACGGAATTTGCTAATGAGGCAGCAAAATACTGTCATAAGTGCGGAAAAGAATTTTCAGGTAAATTTAATCATAGTATTATTACAGTGATCACTGATCGGTGTTCTGTGAAGCATTTGATCATACATTATGTCTTTATGTGTAAGATTCATCCCCTGTGTGAGCTATTGCATACTTTGTGATATCGGGGACATATAACAAACCTTTAGAAATATACATCAATTAATACATTTCTTGCTTTCAATTTGTAGAAATTCCACAAAATGCCTGTCACCATGAACAAGATTGTATTGAATACTGTTTTCATCTGGGATACAAGTATTATGACATCATCAAATTATTAAAAACATATCATGGTATTACGATGTGTGTCCACACATTAAAAAGAAAACTACAAAAGTATAACTTGAAGAAACAAAATGACAATTTTGATGAGCAATATGTCAGGGATATTATCAAAACAGGAATGGAAGGGGCTGGACAATATTCTGGTTACCATAAAATTTGGCATATACTTTAAGTAAATCATCATTTACATGCCCCACGGAGTGTTGTGGCTAGAGTTGTCCATGAACTAGATCCCCAGGCCAATAAGGAAAGAAAGGGAAATAAACTTAAATGGCGAAAGTACTTGTCTTGTGGTCCTAATCACTGTTGGCATATGCAAATCAAACAACTCTCCAAAAGAGCCAACAAAATTGTATTTCAATTGTATGATCAAACATGGTGGATGCCCCTTGTTAACTCATTCAGATTATGAAACAGAGAATGGTGATATTGCAGCCATTCAATGTTATTTTCATAATAATGGGAATGCTCATAAATATTTAACATCCACTAGAAACCAAAGGATTGAAAACTGGTGGTCACATTTTTGTAAGTCTTGTACTGGTAAGTAGGATCTATTAGAAATATGTAAGACGCAGTAACTTTATAAATTAAAAAAGCTGGCGAGAAAGTTGTTTAAAGTGATAATAGTTGTAGGTTATGAGACATTTTAAATGAACGACAAGTTTTTTTATCGTAAACATGTTTCGGCATGCTTATGCCACCTTCAGTACATAGAATGAAGGTGATTATGCTATTTACATGATATATATATGTGTGTATGTGACTATCGTTAAGTGTATTAAATTACAGAATTAGTGTTAGATGATATATTACAAGTTAAAGTGCTACTGAAGTGAAATTTTGGGTATCGATTTTTTTCTATAATCAAATAGTTCTATCTTTCCTGATCACTTTGGTATAATTTTTATGCATATTGAAGCACGGGATCATCAATAAATTGTTGCTCAAAGTTGGGTTACGCGTGCGAATTTTTACTACTGAAATACTATACGGATGTGACGTAATTAAAAGGACGGAAGTCGAAGTATGAGCATTGATTTACTAGTATTTTGTTAGATTTTTAACACATATGCACAATAAAATATGAGTTCTTCAAGCAGTGAAAGTGAACGCAGTTCGGAAACTGAAAACTCAGATATGGCAAATGAAAATTTACTTTCGAATTCCGGCGATGAGGAGACAATTGTGGCTAATTCAGTTGTAAATCCTTACGAAAATGAACCTCTTGCGAACGCAGTCGGAGAGAATTTTGTGTCTGTCAAAGAAGACGCAGACGGCTTAGAACCTCGAACATTGGAAGCGAGTTTCGAAGGAACCGTTCAGTTAGATAAGTGGTAAGTTGATAAATGTTATTAGAACTCTAGAAGAAATTAAACAAAAAATATGATAACAAACCACTTTTTTATAGGTGTGCATGTAGCTTGTGTCGTACTCAACTGCTGACAGATGCCATTGAATACCGTTGTTGTCAAGAGGTTGGGCCTACTTTACATAAACTGGTATTCGATGGTAGCATTGAAAAAATTAGCTGTGTTACTCTTCACGAAGAGTACACGATTATGACACGTGCCACAGTCTTGAAGAATGTTGGCTCACTTCTAAGAGACCAAGATGGAAGGTCATACAAGCGTCGTAGAATACATGAAAATGAGTTAGTACATTTTTGATTTCTAATTTTGTTTTGTAACGAATGATTAATATCTTGCCATGTACCTCTACTTTTTACCTTTATGTGGTTCATTATTGTGCTGTGATGCTTCACAATTTTGTTGTGTGAAGTCAAAATTAATAATCAAATAGAAATTACTATTTTGAATTTCTCATAGATACTTAAGAGCAGTTGCATACCATTGGGTCATTCGATGGCTGTGTGAATGCCTTGGTTGGGAAAATTCTAGACCATTACCTGCATGTATCTACACAGACATCCGAAAACGATTTCCATTACGAAATCCCCTAGGCCAAGAACATGCTGGCTACAAGTCAGCACAGGAAAGAAACTGATAGAAGTAGGAAACATTTTTTGTAGCATAGTATATTATTTTATAACTAACTTTAAAGTTGGCCTGCTAAGAATATTTGTCAAGTAATTCTTGTGGACAATGACTTTTTGGATGTCCTTTCATTGGCTGTCCACAATTTTTGCATAAGCGCGTTTTTGGATCTGAAGGACCTGTTGAAGCAGCTTGTTTTTCTTTGTCTAAACCTTTTGCTTGCAGTACATCTTGCTGTTGATCTATAAATAACAATTTAATGTGTTTACTTTTAGAATGCACTGGCCATACCTATTATACATGGTAGCACGAACAACTTACATGTGGGAAACAATGTTGTTGAAGAAAGTTGTTTCCTATCCAACTGCCGTTTGATTGCCTCAGTTTTGGAAATTCGATCCGAGAAAGTTTTGTTTCAGGCTTCTGGGACTTTTTCCTTATACTTCTTAAATATGTTGTCCATGGATTCCTCATAACTAAGAACCATGACATTTTTGATTTCATTAACATAGTCTGGAAAAATGACAAGTGGTTAGATGTGTAAGTCAAGAGTACCAATGCATACATGCTAAACTTACAATATGATGGTGCTGAAGAAACAGTTCTTACTACTTCATCCCCTGATTTAAATTTTGGGTATGTCACAGAATAATATGGTGTTCCATTTTTTGTTTTTTTTTGGCTGTCTGTGAAGGTTTTCATTGAAATGAAGTACTGCCAGTACGTGCCTAAACAGAACAAACCATTTACTATGTAATTTTTTTTCTTGACTGGGAACAAGTAAAAAAGCCAAGCCAAATATGTACCAAGCCAAGAAAAGTGGGCCATCTTTGGATGCCAACCATTTAATGTTGAATAAAAACCTTCGAGACAACTAGTTTGTGCTTCTGAAGATAGTTTTTTAACATCTTTAAGAACAGATTTTTTCAACAGAATGGAGGAAAGTCGCTGATATGATTTAGTTCCTTAAAAAGAATACAATCCCATCTGAAAAGTGGTAAATAACATTTTAGACATTTTAAAAATCTCAATTCTGTCTTGCTGCCTAAATGTGTGCATGCTCATACCAACTTGAAGCCATAGACGTTCATCTAGCTCTCCATGAGCACATTTAGGAAACAACTCATCTGGATGGTTTTCATGCTTGTTTGTAATGTGCCTGGCAATGGATTTCCATTTTGCCACAATCATTCTCCATATCCCATCTTAGTAGACATAGCCGACCAATATAAGTGTTTGCAGATACCTTTAATCCAAAACACCAGCAACTCACAGCCTTTTTCTTTACTAGCCTTTAATATTGTTTTGCAAAGTCCTTTGCAAACATGCCACAAATCATTGAAGGGCTGGGTTTCCTTCTCAGATGTTCGAATCCACTTTGCAATCCCTTTGTGACGATCGCTAATAAATATTGGAATTTGTAGTCCACTATCTTGAAGAAACTTGAAGCATCTTTGAGCTCCATCCAACTCCATGGCATTGCTACTACCTGACTGATTTGACTAAACGAAAGGTAATGAAGTTTATGTAAAAACTATAATATTATTTTTGAGGTCTTGTTCAAGTAAAATGAACTGATTATCTTAAATGTACATGAAAATATTTGTTTATTAGTTGAAAAATATTATGACTACCTGTCTGATGTCAAAATGAACTATTTTGGAAATACTGTTACAAAACATGGAGTAAGAACAGTACTTAGCACTGTGGCCCATCGAATCAAATCTGCCATCACCAGACCAAGTAGCATTTTCTATATTTTCACATTTTCAATCAGGGCTTTTGATACTTCTCCCAGTGCAATAACACTGAGGGGACCAGGAACTTGTTTTGATGTAAATAATATGCTCTGCTGGTGATTGAACAAAGGCCCAAATGCTTGAATAGTAAAAACACTTTACTTATGCTGACACCTGACATCAGAATGGCAAAATTTGTCATGAGATTTCCAGCCGCGTGCCTTCCCAATACATATGGCTGACTGTTCCATTGAAAATTTCTAGTTGGTCCACAAATAGAACAACATTGAGTTACAACAGCCATTGAACCTTTCTTTTTGATTTCCACCTGAGGATTTGGACTTTTGCAATTGAAGCAAAACATGCTGAACAGTGATATGAGCATGCCATAAAAGACAATGAATTTGGGTTCGTCACATGGCAGGGTACCAGGTTCCATGCTAAACAGAATTAAGCACATATACAAGTTGAACTTCGTTTTCTACGACATTTATGCTGTAACTCACCTAACAGTGTTTTTCGACTGGGAATCTTCAGCTTCATCTTGTGATGAAAACGGTTCGTCTTCATATTGCCAATCCATATCTGTAATGTCAGGATCACCAATAATATCCTGGACATCGCCGATATTAAAAAATTCATTTGGCTCATTACTGGATTGAGAACTGTCACTTTCAGTATCGGAATCATCACTTTCCTAAAACGTAGAATAGGTAACAGTGCGTAAATTTCCAATGGTCGATGACAAACGTTGTATAAAATGTATTTACACCAACGGGTCAAGTTCTGACTATTTCGTAAAGAACCTGTTATTTCAAAAAAAAAAAAATTTTATACAAAGCACCTTATTCTCAATACATTTATTTACCACCTATTTCAAGAAGTAAATACGTACCATGATTAAACTGTCGCTCAGCCTTTTTTTTTGATTTTTTTAACCAACTGAGTTTCTTTTGTAGTTTTGTAACTTTTTTGGCAAGTATGTCGCATCTACTGCACATTTCAACTTGCTCTTGTTTTGGCAGCGGTTCTGGTGAATCCTCTCTAACTGGTTCACTATCAACGCTTTCTGTCGTGTTACACTCGTCAGAATTCCCTTCATCATCAGTATGTTTAACAGCGGGTTCAACATCTTTTACACTTCGTGTTACTTCACGCAACACCTGTTGAAGATAATAAGACACATTTACATGCATTTCCAGGTTGTGCATACAAACTTGTGTAATTTAACTTGTATAATTTTGTACTTACAACTCTGCGGTCGCGATTGCTCTTATCACCTTGGATTGAAATGCCTTTTACAGAGTCTATGGTTGGAATAGCATCATAGCGCAATTGTCGTCTCATGTTTAGCGATTTTGCAACTGTTGCGTTCACGGTGAATGCAGAATCTGCGAAATGCATTGAACATAGCACAGAGTACTGCTGAGGAACGAATTTTGGCCTATGTCTCCTAACAAATTTTGTCCATTTACTCAGCCTCTCCTTGTCATTCATGGGGAAACGATGTACTGAGACACCCTCTGTGTGTTGACTGTTTGTACAACTTTTTCCGTTGGGCCAACCAGCAACACAATATTGTCCTCCTCGACGATTTTTTGCAGAATTTTGCCTACTCGCCATATTTTAACTTGCGGTGTATCGTTACGTTTGACTAACTTAATAAAAAATTATTCTTCGTATATTATGTGCGTTGTGATAATATTGCATGGGTTTTAAAACCACAGACTACGTCAAGGATGCGACACCCATATGATAAGAATGATAAGTCTAATCCAGAAGTTTATAAAAGTAGTATACATTGGATGATTGGAAATAAGCGCGTTACAATTAGTTTCTGATAACATTGCGTGTGTGTTAAAACCGCAGACTTCGTCAAGGATGCGGCACCCAGTTTATTGAGAAATATAAGTTAATTCAAGAAGTTTATAAAACTCTAATCGATTGTAAATGTTGCTTACCTATGCGTGTTGCTCATTTGTCACTAAATATACGCAATTTTTGCGAAGAGAAGTTATAAAATATGTAAAATTCCAGTTGGAAATATGCTTGTTCGTATATAATTTTTATATACTAAGAGTTTTAAAACTGAACTTCCGTCCTTTAAATGACGTCACGCACTCAAAGTCAAATTCGCAATAAAACAAGCAAATATGCCATGTTTGAACGCAAAGTTTGATGCGTTCCCATCGACTAAATTCAGTGGGCGATAGCTCAAAATGATCAGTAAAATACAGAGAAAACGTTTGTATCGTAAAACGAAACATGAAAATTTCACTTCAGTAGCACTTTAAATATTGTATTAATGTGGTATATTTGATTGATGAGGTCTGGTTTGAGCTTTTTAATGTAGAGCGCTTCTTTCAGTTTAAGAGAAAAAGGAGAGTTGGCGGTGTCTAAGATGCGAAAACATGAATGGTTGTATTTTGATTTGCAATGTGGTGAAGTGTGAAGGTGTTTATAAATATGTGAGTTCTTGTCGGAATGTGTGTGTTCTTTGATGCGTGTGGAGAGATGGCGAGTTGTCTCACCAACGTGTAACGGGAATTACATCCCGCACATGAAAATTCATAAACCATGCAAGATTTGAGTGGAGATGGAATACTGTTTTTAAAACTAAAAAGATTTTATATTTTGTAAGATGAGAAGACCAATTTCATTTTTAAGTCAACACAGAAGCGTTTTGTTAACTTCCGTAGTTTTTGTTGAGTGGTGTGTGAGTATGAGCCAATGTAAGGAAGTTTGAAATAGTATATGTTTAACTTGTTTTGGTTAGGTTCATCTGATGCTTGTGAGTCTGATTGTATTTTGTCGTTGAATGATTGGATGACTTTGTCTATGAAATGGACAGGAAAAGAATTGCGTTTTAAAGTTTCAATTAGTGTGTTTATGTCATTTTCGCAGCCGTTTGTTGTATTGTTGATTCTGTGGATGCGTTCAAGGAGAGTTTTTATAAGTCCTGTTTTATAATTACGTGGTGTAAAACTAAAAAAGTTCATTAAGAGTCCAGTGTAAGTTTTCTTGTGAAAGACGGAAGTTATGCATTTGTCTGAAGTTGTGTCTTTAGTGATAAGTATGTCTAAGAAAGGCAATTTATTGTCCTGTTCTTTTTCTACTGTAAAGGTAATTTTTTTTGTGTTGTAGGTTTGAATAATTAAGGAATAATGAGGCGTCGTTTTCGTTGTTAAATATACAAAAAATATCATCTACGTAACGTCTGCAAAAAAGTACGTTTGGTCCGTCGTAGTTAGTTAACCAATTCTTTTCATGATAGGCCATGAAGAGATTGGCAAGTACTGGTGCCAGTGGAAAACCCATTACCACCCCGTCGGTCCGATCATAAAAGTTTTCGTTAAAGAGAAAGTGGGTTTGTGATGTAGTGATGTTGAACAATTGTTTAAAGTCATATCTGTTGATGTGAAAGTTGGGTTGTTGTGTAAATAATAAGTCGAGTGTGATGTCTATTGTTTCAGTTAGTGGAATGTTAGTAAAGAGGCTCTTAACATCAAAGGAAATGATATATTTGCCGTTGATGTCTTGGTTGTTTAGTTCGTCGACGAAAGTGAAGGAGTCTTTAGTAGTGTAATCGTTGGGAACTAAAGGGCTAAGTAATGAGCATAGGTATTTCAATAGTTTGTAGTTGTAAGAGTTGATGGAAGAGACTATTGGTCTTAGTGGCGGTGGCGTGCTGTGGTCTACGTGTTTATGGAGTTTAGGGAGGCCATAGAACCTTGCTGGTTGTGAGCCTGAAGGAAAGATCTTGGAATAGGTGCTGTTGTCAATAGAGCCCTGTTTTTTGAGTTTCCTATAAAAAAGCGCTGTAGTTTAGCTTCTCTTGAGAGTGTGGGGTGTTTGTCTAGTACTTTAAATTTGGATTTATCGCTAATAATTTTTAAACAAAAGCTATTGTATACTTCCCTCTCCATGATGACTACTACTTGGCCTTTGTCTGGTTTTAACAATATAATGTTCTTATTATTCCTAATGTCCTTTAGTATGCGATGTTTCTTGAGATCAGATGGTGACGGAGTATATGAGGAAATGTAGCTTTGAGCAATGTGGATGAGTTCATTCTTTACGCGGATGTAATCTTGGTTTTGGAGCTTGTTTTGTATAGTGTAATGGATCCGTTCAAATGTTGCGAGGATTTTAGCATCGTTGAGTCTTGGAGGTCTTATGGAGAAAAATAGTCCGTTCTTGAGTAGGTGTAGGTTAGTTGTGATCACATACTTTCACTTTTGCAGATTCTTGGATTAACTTTTTCAAGGATTTACAGGATAGCGGATCAGTGAACTTTGAAAGCACATTACACAGACAGTGCTTATGGTTCTGTTTCCAAGATGTAATTTAAGCATCATTAAACAAAATGAAAGCATACTGGAATACGCATTATATTAGGTTGTCTTGCCATGAAACCACTCCAGGAGTTCCTAATTTATTATTTTCTTTGCCTAAAGATTCTGGGGGTGTTAACTGTCTTGTTAGGGTCAGTCAAGATAAAATTGATGAAATCAAAATGCGTCATTTCGAAGACATCAGTGACGAAAGTTCATATCAGGAATACTTTTAGTATAAAGTAAATGGTTTGAACCCGGGAGTATCGTTACATGTTTGTAAATGTAGATCGTCCAGGTTGGTATAGTCCTGAGAAGGACTGTTTTTGTTGTTGACTGACGTTTTGACAACCTTAGCGGTAGTCATCTTCAGAGCCATATTTGTTATCCAGTTCTTACATCATTGTATTGTGTGTACAGAAAATGTGTGGGTGTCAATTGTGTATTGTCATTGTGAATTAGTGTGAAGTGAAATGTTTTTAGTTGTGATGTGTGATTTAGGTGTCGTGTTTTTAGTTGTAATGTGTGGGTGTCATTTGTGTATTGTCATTGTGAATTAGTGTGAAGTGTAATGTTTTTAGTTGGTCGTTTGTTTGTATTGTGAATAAGTCGTTTGTAAGTGGTGGCTTTATGTGATGTAGGGTTATAAGATGATTGGTATAGTAGTTGGTCTGTATGTGTTGGCTTGCGATAAACTGTTGTTCGTAGTTTTTGATTGTCATGTTTTACCAAACATTTGAGAAAAGGAAAAGTTCCGTTTTCTTCAACATCTTTGGTAAATTGTATGTGGCTGTTCTGTTTGTTGATGTGAGTGTGAAAGTCATCAATCTCGTCTGCATGTGGTGCTGTGATTGTGTCATCTACGTAGCAGAACAAAAAGCTAGTGCATGTTTGTAAGTCGTGAGCGCGAAAATGTCAGATATCCAGACAGTCCCAAGGAGACCTTAAATTTGTTTTGCTATTTAAAGGAAAAAGATGAAACTGAAGATTCCTTTAGGGATGAAATTTAATGTTCATTACATATGCCAAAATGCATTGCTCTTTCGTAACAAGAGCTTTTGAGTACTAACATGAAAGATTGATAACATGCATCAAATTGGATTCATTGTTACCTAACGTTTTTTAAATAAACAATTAAATATGAACTTAACTAATAATGCAGTTGTTACCATGAAAAAATAATAGATTTTTTTATGGTTAACACTCCCGTTGATTGCTATTCCCCCATAAATGATGAAATACAATTATCATTATTAAATGAAACCAAATCCCTTCTCTTTGATAAGTGCAGAGTCAATTGCCTTTTTTCGTTGGTTGTGACTATGTCGATATAAATAGGCAATGTAATGCTTAGATCTTAATTTGAAGTAGTTGGCCGACTCTTGCACCCTTCTGTACATCCATGCTTGAATTTAACCGTTATGGGTTTTGGTAATCCTAATCGTGGAAGTTGTTCGCATGCAGTTAAAAATTTATGCAACATGCACAAGGTGCTAGTGGCATGTGTCCCTAGAAAAAAAAAACCCAATCGATTCAAATTTCAAATCTCATTTTGAACTTATAAAAATGCCTGAGGTGCAAATCCTGAGGCATTGGTATTAAACGCGATCGGGCGTATATGTCACTTAAGTTAACAATTATAAAACTGATCAATTCATGGAAGTCTAATATTGAGTTAAGAGTTAGAATGAAATGGCATTTTTTCAGGTTGTGAACAAGAATAGAATATTGGAAATCTTTTTTTACATTATACATTTAGTATGCTGTATTTGCAACACAGCAGATATACCTTGGAAAGCGTCGAAATTATGCAAGAAATCAAGAAAGAATTTATAAACATTAACTTCTGCCATTTTGCAATTGCTTCTTTCTTCACTAAATTCAGCTGTCATCCCATCTTACAGTTGATCGGCAGAAGGAAAAAATAAGAACACTCCACAACAAATAGTGCCTTCATTGCTGCCTTTTCTTCTTTCATTGCTTTCATCACATGGAACAAACCTAATCCAATCATAAGCTGGTCCACCATTGGCAGGAAATGTAAAAAATCATACATTACAATTGCTCTAAAAATGGCAACAGTGCATTTGAAACTTCACTAATGCTTATTCCCAAACACAGAAAATGACAAGAATTTGTGAGTGTGTGAGGGACCACGTGTTATCTTAACTTAAAAGTCAAGCATCAAATACAATTTATTAACAGTGTCTGGGATGGTTTAATGTGTACTTTAATAAAAATATGAAATTGAAAATTACTTTCGTTTAGTTAAAATTCTTGATAAGGATTGTAATGCTCAAATGGTAGTAAAAGTCATATAAGAGTAAACCTTATTGAGATCGTCTTTGTCACAATCACTAAGCCATGTTAAAGTCAAACAAAGAGAAGTTGGCCTTTAAAGGGTTAATGACTTACACTATGCAGAATTTGTAAATTATTTCGTTTTTAAAGATTTAAACATAGCGTACTTTAAGATGTTTTTAGCAGATTGTAACGATTCTCTTGATGGCACTCCCCTGAGTGAATCTGTTGCAAAACATGCAACATGGCATCTTCTTGCAACACACTTTAATCTGTTCACCAATAAAAATTAATTTCACAAAACCCTTAGATTTCATGACCATCCTAAACGTTGTGTTTTAACATGAAAGAATGCTTTTCAGTTTTGCCTTCTCTATAGCTTCAACAAGTGTAATATCATTTACTTCTGGAATCCATCCTTGAGTTGTTATACTTAAAATACCTTCAGTCATATATGCATAAACTTTGTCTGAAAAGAAGCATGGTGCTGGTGCACCTTGTACAATTGAACTAGCCATTGGTTAACCTGCTACTTTGAACTTTCTACCCCAGGCTCTGCCATGTCAGGTAAAGGCTCTATTATTAAACAATTGTTGAATAATTTGTACCTCTACAAATATAACACAAAAATTTTAGTGAGCAATTTATTGACAGCAACAAATATGCAAATTGATTCATTTTTTTTGCAGGTTTGGTAAGCAACTGAAACATGTATACCAGAAAAAACTTTACGAGGAGGTCTGCCTTTATCAATTGCAGGCTTTCCAACAAATGTTACTTTCAGCAACTGCTTGTTATTGAACCATTGTTTCTTTGAAATTTCCAAATAGTCTTTGAAAACTGATTTTCACCTCACATTAATTCGGATTTTAACAGGGTTCACATGTTTAGCAAGCTCAGCTATCAAATCTCTCATCTTTTTCATCACATGTTTCAGAACAATCATCATTTTTGACAGTTGTATTAAAAGGATCATCTTTTATTGATCCAATTGGGTATATCCACTTGTCAGCACTAATGTCTGCATGTGTCTTGATTTCATTTAAGGGAAACATGCAAAAACAAATTGGACATGATGTTTCTGCAGATGACGGAGGGAATTTTTTGTCATCATCACAAACTTATATCAATAAAGCTTTTTACTTTTGTTGCTTCCTTTTTCTCATTATCTTGAGTGACCACCATTTCATTGCAAGTATCAGAAATTTTAGTTGAACTTTTCACTTCTATTATCTTTGTTTTCTCATTATTTTGAGCATCATAGTCATAGTCATCAGAGTCTGAATCTGGAAAATCTTCGACTCTGTCCAAATCTATTGTAGCACACGGATAAAAATATATTTTTAAAGATGGTTTTCCTAATTCGGGTTTGTGCTCACTCAATAAAACTGTGCTGCACTGCCAGGTAACTTCTGTACAGTACAATGGTCTGGATAGAGAAGAGTGTAGGAAATATACTTATTGAACTGTCTAAAATGCTTTGAATGTTTATCTATTGCAGCCTTCATTAAGTCAGCTACATTGCATTGAGATGAGACAACTAGGGGTGATGTTCTTCCCTTCAGCTTTTTTAACCTTTTCCCTTCAGCTTCTACAACACCATCTTGAATTTTAACGTCCTCATGTTGTTTTGGTTTCTTACCAATAGAATTTTCTTAGTTTGACTCACTTGCTTTCTTTTCCAATATTCATTGAATGTTAATGTTGACATCTGTCTAGTGGAGTGATTTGGCAACTGCAAACTTGAACTGAATAATGATCTTGGCTCAATGCTTGGTGTTGAAGGTAGATTTTCAGATTGAAAAAATTTGAAAAGGAAATATTGGTGGTGTAAAAGAGAAATATGTGTATAAATGCAAATTAAAATTACTAGCCTTTCGCAAAATTTGCCCTATTAACACGTAAAATTAAAATACATAATAAGTTTTTCAGAATCTTTAAAATAATCACAATAATATTTACGCACAATTAATATTCACAATTCATAATTGATGATTCTATTGATTCATTATAGAAAAAATTTAAGAAACGTTTTATTACCTGCAGATGTTGATTTCCTGCAGTTATGACAGTATTTTGCTACTTTATTAGCAAATTCCGTGCCACATTTGCTGTAAAAACACTCCATTTACAGGTCTCACTTTCGCTATACACGTTTCACTTTGTCGTTTCTGCCGCCATTTTCAATTGTTAGAATTTGGTATATTTGACAACTAGAGCCGGTCCACTTCCGATATTTCCCATTTCTATGGAGAAAGTCTATTTCTCTGTAGAAGGTCTATTTCTACAGGGAAGGTCTATTTCTACGGGGAAGGTCTATTTCTACGGAGGTCTAATACTGCGGAGGTCTATTTCTACAGAGGTCTATTTCTATGGATAAGGTTACAGTTAAGTGAAGATTGCACATGAGTTTTTGTGTAAAGAAGTTGTGTCCCTAGTGGGCCACAGTAGTCTCAACTTCATCGGTGGGCGAATGCAAAATTTTTCAAAACAAGATGGTGGATGAGGAGTGCAAAAATATTGGAAACTTGTCAGTAATGATTTTTGAAGAAATGCTTGTGGAAGAAGTTCGAAAATTTAGATGCTTGTGGGATTCCTCATGCAGGGCATACAAGAAAATTCAATAAAAGCAGCAAGCTTGGAGCAAATTAGCATCGAAATTGGGAAAAGATGGTAAGAAGGAGTATGAATAAGTAAATCTTTGATAAATTCTGCTTCAATGCACACACCACTTGATTTTATCCTGAGATTTTTTCTGTAATGTTTAGTTGAGCAATGATTATATACTCAACTTCACTGGGTTTCCTACTTAATCTATACATTGTATTTAAAGCAAACGAAGCATGTACAGTAATTTGATCATAAAGTCTTAAAAAATATTGTGTAATTCATAGATGTATTGTTAAAACGTATATGAAAAACCTAAGAGATGGAATGTCCAAATGCCTCAAAAAGAAAGACGGATTGACAAGATTGGATACAGCCATTTACCAACATGCAGATTGCTTGAACAGTTGATATTTCTAAAAGATGTCTTGGTAAATAGGGCAACAGAAAATAATGTGCCTGATGCTGACTTTGTCTCATGCCATGATCAAAGCATCACTAATTATAGGTCATCAAGTCAAACAGTTATTAGGGAAGGTGGAAGTGAAGAAAAAGTTCAGCAATCCAAAAAAACCAAGATCCAGGCAGGGGCGGATCTAGACCGATGCAACCGATGCAAATGCATCGGTCAAAATATTTAGATATTAAAATCTGCGAGTTTGCATTTTAATGAAATAAATAGCAAATATTATTTTCGAATTATTTAGAACGCACATTTGACAGTGATATATTGTTTAGTTAACTTATACATTTAGCAGTTTTAAGCTAAAATTTGTTCTAGAAATAACATTTGTGTTCTCCGATAATTTTGTCGTATTCCATGACACAAATAGCGAAAGAAAAGTCGATAAAATTTAGCGAAATTTTGTCGTGAATACATAATTAGTAAGTAATTTAATAGTATTCTGCCAGCACGTCACGGTAGATGGAAGAGGCATCGCTACGTCACAGTAGATTTGCGATGCATCGGTCCCGAGTCCTTTTCCGCGTGAAATCTACTGTGACATCAGCAAAACCATTGTTTTAGGGCCTCACGTCACGGTAGATTTTGCCGCTGAGCGATGCATTTACCATAATTTTGTGATTGTGGGCACATGGCACCGATGCATTCAACTTTGAACTTCAAAGTTGAATGCATTGTTATTTGATCACTTGATATAACTCGCAATCATCGATCGACGTCATGGCTGTCGAGAATATCAAACACGATCTGTGTGCTCTGCTTCGAGAAGAGAAGTCATTTGATATTAATGGAGTGCGTCGAACCTATGAAACGAGAGCTGCTACTTTTATTTCAAAATCCTCTCCTTGCAATCCCTTTTCAAAGGGTAAAAATGGGAGAGATATGTCAAGTGAAATGTTAATACCTAAGCACTTGACAGTTCATTGGCAAAGTGGAGAACTAAGAGCTTTAAAGTAAGTAAATTTACCTTTATGCTTGCATGTTTTAAATGTAAATAGTGTACTCATTTCAGACTCAGAGTGTAGTCGTGTAGATAACGACGAACAATCATCATAAAATATACACGATGTCATATTACTTATGCAGCACTTATGCTTGTATTCATATGTAATACAATACAAACTGTAATATGCAGGGGTAGGTGCGATTTTAGTTGCATTTTAGTTTATGTATCGTATGGATTACATTAAAAATGTAATGACTGTATTCCTTCTTCCAATATACTTATGACTTCAGTAGAAGCTAACATTTTCTTTTCCAAATAACCCTGTCAGACATTTAAGTTTTGAATTCTTCTGATTTCTAATTTTTAGCCACACAATGAGAATTTTCTTAACTCTGCTATATTTAGAACTAGAGGTGATGGTAATTGTCTGTACAGAGCCTGCTCAAAATTACTTTGTGGCAAGGAAGACCTATGTCATTTGCTGAGAGACTTGACAAGCATTGAGCTATTCAATCACCAGGAGTATTATGCTAACCACCCTTACTTAAAAGATAAGTTGCATTTTTAAGTCAGAAAATACTGCTTTTCTGCATCAGTATTAGATGTGGCTTTAGGCAATGGCTATGATAGGAAAAATCCAAGCACAAAGGTAATAGTAGTTAAAGAGGAAGCTCTAAATAATGCATGCAATGGTACTTATTCTTCACTTATGTGTATATTTGGTTTGTCTTCTGTCACTGGAATGACTACAATTTCAGTTTATCCCGAAAAGTTGGACCAGGAGACCAAATATTCACAATTTCTAAATGGTAAAATTCTTCCATGGCAAGCACACCAACATATTTCAAGTCAACTTGTTCAGCCAGCTAAGTTAATTTTAATGTGGACAACTACTGGTGCTTATTCTCTTCCAGAATTAGATATAGAATTTCAACCCAATCATTTTGTACCACTAATTGAATTTAATCAAACTAATAACTCAAGAGTTAATAATAAAAAAAAAATTACTGACCACTTTAAAGTTGATGTCTTACAGAAAAATAAAAGTGGACTTGAGCAACAAATAGACACAACTTTGGTAGCACCTGCAAAATCCTCACCAAGGGAAGACTTAGATGGCAGCAGCTATGATTGCTTGAAGACTTCCTTAAAACGTGGGTTAAATTAGTGATTGTTAATTTGCAAATATATTTTAATTATAGGTAAGCATGCTTTTCTAAGAACATAAGTAAAGCATACCATGCAATATAAAGTATTCGTTGTGGGATGGAGGATATTTTTTGTACATGTGAATAAATCCTTCCTTCTAAACATGAGATCGTCAAAATTGGCAACAAGCTTTCACTCAAATGCACCAAAAACAATGACCTATGATATATGACCTTGCATGTTAACGCATTCAGGCTTTATTATTTTGAATGTAGTCGTATACCTACATCTTAGTAATGTTTTATTTCGGACCTCTTTCATGCGACTTTGAAGATGGAAAAGTATCAAATGCTTCTTGTCCCTTGTCAAAATCTGTAAAAACTGATATGACAGATGTTGATCCCTTGGATATTGGACATTTTGTATCTGTGGCGGCCCTAGATGATGACACAAAGCTAAGACTTATAACAAATCACTGGAAGCCTCCCCCTTCTTTCAATTTTCCTTTTTCTGAGAATGGTAAATCTTCAAGAAAATTTTGTGCTGGCTGGCTAGATCGTTGGTCCTGGTTGTGCTACTCTAAATTATTTGATGGAGCCTTTTGTTATTGTTGCGTTTTGTTCGGTCATCAAACAGGACATAATGGTTCAAAGCTTAGTAAATTATTTAAGGAACCCTTAAGAAACTGGCAAAGTGCGACAACAAAATTTTACCAGCATGACAAATATTCCCTAATTCACCGTGACTCCAAGTTACGTTTGTCGCAGTTCCAACGTGTGATGAAAGGTAAAACTATTGGCATCGACGAACAAGCCGATCATCTTAGAAATGCCCGCATTCAATACAATCGTGACGTTTTAGGCTCTATTATTAAAACTATTATACTGGCAGGCAGACAGAATCTTCCCTTACGAGGCCATCGTGACGACTCAAAGTATTTTCTATCTTCTAATCCTGGGAACTTTCAAGCCTTTTTGAATTTTAGAGTAGATGCGGGTGATGCGAAACTAGAAAAACATTTTGAAAATGCAAGTAACAATGCAACTTATCGTTCGAAGACAATTCAAAACAAGCTGATAAAGATCTGCGGGGAACAAATCAAAGAAAAGATTGTTTCTGACATCAATTCTAGTGAATGCCCAATTTACTCAGTCCTTGGTGATGAGGCAACAGACTGCAGCAGTATCGAGCAGATGCCAATTGTTGTAAGGTATGTTGACTCAAAGCAAGAAATTAATGAACTATTTATTAAATTTGTTGAGTGTGAAGGAATGACTGGCAAAGCGCTAGCGAAGAATATCGAAGATACTTTAAACGAAGTTGGGCTACTACTTTCCAACTGTCGTGGTCAGTGCTATGATGGTGCCAGTGCAATGTCAAGCAAATCAAAGGGAGTTGCTGGTCGTATTTTAAAATAAAATCCAAAAGCTTTGTATATCCATTGCGCTAGTCATCGATTGAACCTTGTTGTTGCTAAAGCATGTAGTGAGCAAACTGTCAAAAACATGTTGGGGCATGCTCAAAAGATCTTCAGTTTCTTCAGCCCATCCCCTCTACGAATGCAGTGCTTGAGGCAGAATATGGAAAAGTCTGGGTTACGTCGTAAAAAACTAGGAGCTCCATCCACAACGCGTTGGGTTGAACGGATACGTACACTTGATGGATTTGTGGAAGCATTTGTACCTGTTTGTCAAAGTTTAGAGTACATGAAGCTCAATATGAATAAAGATTTTGATAATTCAAGTAGGGACGCAGAGGGATATCTTCGTTCCATAAAATCTTCGAATTTATTGTTAATCTTGTGATTACATCAAATGTTCTGCATCACACAATGTCGTTGACTGTTCAACTGCAGCAAAGGATGATCGATATCGCTGAATCAATTAAACATATAAATCTTTTGAAGTCACAATTAAAAATTTTACGCAGCTCGGCTGATACAATTCATGACCAATACTACGAAGAAGCAGTGGATTTAGCAAACAGAGTAAACGTTGATGAAAAATTCCTCGACTTTGCAATGTTCAGACAACTCGTGAAAACTATCCTGCACATACAGCACGTGAATACTACCGCATGAAACTAACCATCCCTCTTCTTGATCACTTGATTGAACAGATGGAATTTCGGTTTTCTTCAGAGGTGTGCGATATTTATCGTGGATTCTATATTATACCTAGTATTTTTCTCAATTGCAAGGACGTTAATTGGAAGGAAGAGTTTATGAAGTTTGCTGTTGCATATAAAGAGGATATGCCACACTTTCGGAAAATACATGCTGAATTAGGATTGTGGGAAACAAATTGGAAAGGGGGCTTTGAGAAAGTTAAGTACGATTCAATTGCCGACACGCTTCGAACTTGTAACAAACTTGCATTTCCAAATATATTTACAGCGCTTAAGATACTCGCTGTTGTGCCAGTCACTACTTGTGAGTGTGAAAGATCCGTTTCTGCCCTTCGTCGAATGAAAACTTGGTTACGTAGCACAATGATCAACGAAAGGTTAAATGGATTAGCCCAAATGCATATTAATGATGATATTAAGTGTGATGTCGAAGAAGTGATTAATACCTTTGCCAGACAAAACCCAACGAGGATGCAATTTCTTGATATCCTAGAGGATAAAGAAACAGATGCTTGACGATGAGCTCCATGAGAAATTCTTAATGCTGATAAACAACCTACATTTTCTTTGAGAGTTATCTTGTTTTCAGCCGTTATTGAGAGGACGAAGACCACGTTTAAACATTGATTTTCTTAAACATTTCATCTTTGCTGGGGTTGGAAGAAGACGATCTTTCAACATTGCTTTTATAATTGTTGTCATCTTTGCTGCCGTTAGAAGAAGACCATCTTTGAACATTGCTTTTATTAAACTTTTCATCTTTTTTACCGTTGGAAGAAGACCACCTTTGAACATTGCTTTTATCAATGCTGTTATCTTACAAAAGATGGCTCATGTTATTTTTTCAATAAAATTTACGCTTAAGATTTTTCTGTCACCTTTCCCAAATCGCTGGAAAATGCTTCTCGGATAGTGAAAATTCAAAAATTTTCTGGGGGAGCATGCCCCCAGACCCCCCTAGCAGTGGCTCGCGCCTTCGGCGCTCGCAATGCATCGGTCAGCTAAGGAGCTGGATCCGCGCCTAGATCCAGGTGGTAACTCAAAAAAAGTGTTGAGAGAAGGGACAGAATTGAATAATTGTTGGTGAATGCCCTGATGCAATCTACAGAGGTAAAGCACAATTCAAATGACCCAAACAAATTTTGTAATGAAAATGGAAATGCATTGTTATGTCAAAGCTTAACCCTATTTTGGATTCCTGCCTGATATACAGAACCGGCTAGCAAAAATTGAAATACAGCAAGTTTTGGCAGATGAAGGATAAAGTTGCACCAAATTATATTTTAAGTTTGAAAATTTTCATTCATCATCAAAAACAAACAAAATCTATTTTATTTGTGAATAATTGACATTTTAGTGGTTCTTATTCGTAAATACTTTACATGTTCATAGTTGAGGAGGTAAATCTCTTTGTTGAGTTAAATTTGAAAGATACCTTTTGCTTTTTTATTAGTTGTTATTTTGTAAAGAAATATGATTCATGTTCTAAATTATGGGCGATAATCAATTGATTTGTGTGTTAAAATATCTCAGTAAATTTTGCACTATTGCTGATCAAACCAGTTACTTGTGCTCATAACCATTACCCTTTGCAATGGAACAGAACTTTGCTCTAAATTAAAATAGTCATGGAAATTATACCTGACAGTTTTAGTATCTTGTGAGTAGTTGTTTAATGATGCACTGGAAAGTGGTTTAAATCCAGCATCAAGTACATCATTTCTTCATTGTCCTTGAGTTGTTCCTTTATTAGTTTCTTCATCAACATAGCCAATGGGACAATACTGATTATAATTTCCAAGCGATCTGCCAGAAATTGTGGAGGGCTACAACTGCTTGAACTACTTGAATAATGGTGTCTAGTTTTAGTCTTCAAAAAATGTGAATCCCAAAGGCATTTTCTACAGTACGTTGTGCTCGTGAAATGTGGTTATTACCAATTCTTTCTTCCAGTGTGAGACAGGACCTAGATAGGTGTGGATCAAGACGGTTTTCAAAGAGAAGGCTTCATCCCCAATAAAAACATATAGGAATTCAGTAGTCGTGTCATTGAGTTTTTGTGAAGTTGTAAATTCAACAAATCATTACACATTGCATAGCCCAGCGTGCTACTTAAAAACACTCCTGCACTGCTCTGCCTTTCAACAGCCCATATATCAACCAGGATAAATTCATAGTTTGCGTTTACCACTGCCAGCAGTACAATGCTGTGGAATTTTTTATAATTGAAAAGTGTTGAGCATGATCAAGGGGGAGCTTGAATCATAACATGTTTGCCATCAAAGTGTAACTCATAAATTGCTGTATCTGTAACGTTGAAACAGGGGTGTAAGTCCTGGAGACGGTAGGGGGTATGTTGTGGCTCAGCCTCTCCCATTTAAAAAGTTAGCAGTTTTGTCGAGCAAAGCATTTAACTTTTTGGAAATCAAAACTACAAATATTAGTGATGACGTTTTGATCAACTCATGTAAAAAGCGATTTTGCTGGTATTAACAAACAAAAAACGTTAGCATTGCATTTATCAAGTGAAAGGACTGGTTTAATTTTGAAAAAACACTTACAACAACACCTCGATCTGATTGAAAGTGCTTTCAATGTTAGGACCACAAAGTAGTTCTCGTATGTCGTCCAATTGGGCTGTTTTCTTGAATATTTTTTTCTATATGAAAAACATAGTTTAAAATGAATGTTGTGCTATTGTGGGTCTATGTTCTATGAGGAATACTCACATAGAATACTTACATTTCTAATTACTTTTCATTCTTTTTAATTGTTTAGTTGTGCAAACTAGGTTATAAGTTCATGTTACATTATTAAGCCTCAAACACAAATGTGCAGGCACCATTTCATTTCTCCTTGAAACACACATTAATTGTGCCAGGACGCTTACAACCTCAAAAAAAAAGGAATATTCTAATGAAAAATTCTATTCCTAGGCACATGCAAAGCCTTTTAAACACAAAAGTGCCCAGGCAATGTTCAATCTATTGATGATTGAACAACACAAGCTTAGACAGCTTTTTACAAATTTTTTGACTGCAAATTGTCGTTTTGCGTTTTTGTCAAGTGATGCATTTGTATTCTCACAAATACCTCAGTGCAACACTTAATCAGTTAAATGCATGATTATCTGTAACTGTTGACTCCAACACATGCTCATCTAGGATGCTGAAGATTTTTCCTCTACACACACACATAATACCTTCGCAGCAATTGCACTCGATATGTTTGCTGCATGTCGTAAACCACCATGACAGGAATTCACCATTCTCATCACGCATTTCTCTGTTTCCTGACACACTTTCAGAAGATCGTCAGTTGGTATTTTTAAGCCACCATTGCTTATCCTTGCCACAAATAGTTCTGGTGCTCTCTCTAGATGACTTCAGAGCTTTAAGGCAATCATCACAATGGATCTTTCTTGCCACCATTTTTGTGACTTAGCCAGCAATGTACAATATTGCTGACTCTTTGTACTCTGAAAGCTGAATGTAGTTCGAGGTGTCGCAGTAATCATGGTCGATTTGTTCTGGCACATGCAGTTCTATATCATATCTTCGTGCATTACTAACATCGGAAATATCTGCGGACATTCGTTCACTCTCACACCGATCTTGTAGTTTAGTTAGAATTTTGGTGCTATCCTGAGCAATACAATTTCCACGAACTCCTTTAATGTTATGTCGCATCAACAGTGGCTTGTACTGTCAAGATGTCAGGTTGTTTTTCCAACCACCTGACGCTCGCACAGCTGAAAAAAACAATTCCAAATGATCTTGACTTGTCTTACAAATAAGAAAATATTTAATATTTAAGAATTTTCACTTATAACAAGATCTTCAGCAAGCACTTGCACAGCTTCAATGCACAGCAGAAATCCCAGAAATCCTGTTTTTCTCTTGTGGGCAAAGGTAGACTTTCCATCATCACCCTTCACATTCAGTATGTACTGTTTGCATCATCCAAGAACGTTTTTATTAATTTGCAATTGCTTTTCCTTATAGGTGCTTAGTAATTCTTTGCAATTGGATTTCTGGAATTAAAAGTGTCAAACAAGCAATCAAATACTTGAATGAACTTTACCATTTGTTTACACCCTTTAAACTGTGGAAGTTTGAGCTTACCTACACAGAATTCTAAAGCATCTGCAACACTCGAGCTGATTGCTTGCACTGCTAAATTTACCTTCATTTTCTGTGATTTTCAGTTTGTGTCAGCTTTCTTTAGTTTGTTGGAAGACGCAGGCCTTCTGAGGTTTGCAGTTTCTCTAACTCAACTAAATATTGCCACAAAGTAAATAGTTTGAACTTCTGAGTTTTGACTCTGAAGATGACTACCGCTACGGTTGTCAAAACGTCAGTTAACAACAACCAAAACAGTCCTCAGGACTATACCAAACTGGAAGATATACATTTACAAACATGTAAATATTGCCACATTATTTCAAAGTAAGAGCAAAAGCACACAATTCTTGGGGGTAATGAACACCTTTTTTACCTTGAGTGTCTGCTACTAAACAACTCAAAATATCTTCAGAAACCCCAGATAGGGAAGGATTAAGAAGTTCAGCTTGATCAGAGCTGATCATTTTATCATCTTTAAGGCAATCAATGATTGACAATAAACCATTTACCTTCTTTTTCAGTCTACTTTTTTTCTTATTAGACACTGTCAACCTCTTTCTATAAGACTCTGCCCAGCCAATAACATCTTCTAACTGTCTTTTCGGTCTCCTGGGAGACTTAAGACAATATGAGTGATTATGAGGAGAAAAATGACCACTCACCTCTTTTTCAGTACTCTCCCTACATTCAACACCCTGCATCTGTTAAAATAATGTTGGGACTGCACCATCTTCTAAATATGTTTTACTACCTGATATTCTCTTCATGTTATCGGCAAAATAATCTGAGCAAACTCTGCTCCACCTAGTTGAAACTGTGTGAGGCGACCATTTCCTTATACTATTTACCCACTACGAAAAAAGTGCAGGGCTTTTTCTTCGTCAGGAAAACTATTTTGAATTAAATTGGTAAATTTCTTGGGTCATGCGTTGACTCAACAAATAAATAAAAAAATTTGTTGAATTTTTTAAAAAAACAACACAGGAAAACATCAGTGTATGCAGTATTCAAGACAATGTATTTTCATATGGCCTTACAGATTTTGTAGCTTTCAATTGTATAAATGCTGATTCATTCTTTCAGGAAGAAACAACATAAGCAAATAACTCACCTGTGAAAAGCAATGTGCTTTGTGTTGTCAATATTATGACATTTTACAATTGATTGTCGATTAGGCATTTTTTAGAAAAATATTGTTTTGACCTTGAAAAGTATTGTTTGTTCATCAAACAGCTCGCAATTGCATTTGAAATTTTCAACTAAAGGCAGGAAAATCAATAACATCAATCCAGGGGAGGTCAAGAATATTATTTTTTTCCATTTTTGGCCCCAGTACAGTTAGCAGCTCAGTTCTTTATATACCTCAATGGTTCCCACCAGTTAAAAACAAAATGGAAGCAACAGAACTTATACCATTGAGTTCTATTAAATTACCTGAAGGGGAAGAGGGGTCTCGAACCCAGAGCCCTCTATAAGAAAGAGTTGGGACATCTATTGTTATCCTTTTAGCTTACGTTGATTGGGCAATATTGATCACCTGATCAATTTCCGCCATTTTGGTTCCTAGTTTTGAAATTTGAGCTTGTGTTTATATAGCAATTGCTGCTAGTAATACAGTATTTTGAGATAATATTGCGTTTTTTAATGGATAAGTTTGTAATAACTGATTGTTGAAGGCTACTAAATGTCATTACATATCGCAAGAATCGAGTATTACGAAAAAAAAGAAAGAAATGCCTTTACGTTGAACTTACGAAATTTGATTGTGTATGGTGATTGTTGTGCTGAACTGCTTTTACTATAAGGTTCAATTAACTGACTCAAGTAGAGAAACATTTTTGGGCCAAATAACTTTGCAAAGTTCGTGCTGATGCAGTTTCAATAGTTTTCTTACTCCAAAGCTTGTTTTTTAATCGAAGATGATTTCTCATTATGTTCTGAAATTGGTCAATCTACAAACCTCTCAATTCTCAGCCACTTCCACACTAAAACAACTACACCAAATCACAGAAACTCTTATGATTTTCCATGTTGTATTTTGTATTTTTAGTTCATCATTTAAAATGAAGTAATTATAATTAGGATATTCACTGAAACAGCTGAGTACAATATATTTTGGTAATGAATTGTACAAATGTACCCTACTTCTGTAGCTCATAGTAGAACATTACTTCTCTTCTAGACTTGTCAATGATATTTTAATTGTACGTTTTGGTTTATAAGATCACAGAGGCATATCTCCATACTTTCAGCTATTTGGGCTTTTTAATGTATATTACAACAGTTGCTGCCTTTCTCATAGGTATTAAAATATTGCTGAATGAATGTAGAGAATGAGTGGAATGGAGAAGTTGAAGCGGATGAAGTTTTTGGGCCGTGGGAAATAGTGACTGTTGATGAGGTGGCGGCGGCTCTGCGCAAGATGAAGAAAGGAAAGGCGACGGGACCGAGTGAAGTGGGTAGCGAAATGTTGGACAATGAACTATGCGTGAGAGAGTTGTGTAATGTAGCGAACGAGGTTTTGAGCCAAACAAAAGCTGGATGTCAGATGGCCCAATGGTTTGGGCTTCTTCGTGTATACTTTTTTAGTGCTTCACGAAACAAGGTCGCAATACAACGGGGACCTGAATTTGCCCTCCATCCGGGCGAATTTAATTGATTGATAATGAATAGCTGTTTGTAATAATGATTGGACACAGGAAAGATACTTTTTCAAAAATTTTTATTTTTTTTGGCGATTTTTTTGAACTTTTTTTTTCCTCTTTAGTTAAGACTTTCTAACCTCCTTAGTCCCTGCAAAAGATGGTAAGAACAATGTGAGATAACAAAAGAAAATCATATTTATTTTTTGCATTGTTTTGAAATAAGTTTTGTTTTTGATTGATCGAATAGAGTCAGAATCAGAATGTTTTCTTTTTATTCTGTGCGAATACAGTTTAAAAAGCTTCACTACTTAATTGATGAAGTAACTTTTTAATCTTTTTTGTTTGATATATGTTTAATGAAAATCGTTCTACCTTGTAAATATATTGATAACAACTTGGCCACGCCCTCTTCCACGCCCCTTCCACGCCAAATTCCGCGACCTCGCCATTGGGGACGACCACGCCGTCCGCCGCGGCCTCTGGCACCCGCGTCCCTCGACGCGGTTTGCTAGGGCAATCTTCGGGGCGTGCCCCACGTCATTGCATGTGTTACATTCTGAAATAATAAAGTAATAAAATCAACATATAATTTGTGCGAACAAGTGTGTCATTAGTTTAAACTCACTTATTTCCTCTGGCTTGTTTTCGACGTCTGCTATAAAGTTGCGAACGATAAAGACGTTAGAGATTTTCCATGCCCAACAAAATACAAAAACATGTATTAGAATTGAAACCTGTTCTCAACCATGCATTTAGATGGTTGTTATAAAAGCGATAGTGAATTTTACAGTGTTGGAACAGCTTTTATACTATATTCATTGGCGTTCGCTTAACATGAAAAACGATCATAAAGATATTCAATTATCATACATGTATAAGTAATATGTTAAGCACAAGTACAAAAAACACTCTTAGTCGATATATTGTACAAATTATGCAACAAACCTTTTCGCTTCTTTCGATTTTCTTCTTCTGATTAAGACGATTCATAAAAAGAGATATTTTTGTAGGTTTGAGTCATCTTTATGCAAATGTATTTAGCTATTAACATTTTGAAATTTTATATCTATTCGAAGAACTGGCTCACCTTTACCCCCTCTCGTTTGTTTTGAGTATCTGGAACAAAGAACACACATTAAACTGATTGGATAACATGCATGTTAATAAACACAATTCTTTTGCGACTATTCTTTAGCATAAGCACGTTTAAGTAAGGTTGATGGTGATGTAATAGAATTGAATCAACTATTGTTGAACATTGTACACTTTGCCATAAAGACAAGTTGAAATATTTCTTTTCACTTAATGCAGAAAACTAAGAAACTTTGCAAAAAATGTTACTTATCGTTTTACCATTTTGTGCTTCTTTTTCGGCCATTTCTAAATAGAAAATAATGTTTATCATTAGTTGTACAGCGTGAACAAACTTATCGTCTTATGCCCAGCGCCGATATCGCACAGTGGCAAATATGCCATGTGCCCCGCGATCCATGCTAAAAGGAAATAACAATGCGTCATGGGGTACCGCAATAAGAAAATGCCTTGGGCACCGACATGTGTAAACGCGGCGATGCTCATGCGTTTATACGAGTAAACGAACGTTCAAGCAGTGACACATTACATAAAATGGAATCATAAATATAATAAAAATATCATTATAGTTTCGCCTCGGAGAAAGGTTAAATATTTATGCTTTAGTACCATGTGATGCAGCGTATTAATGTATAAAACTTTGGTAGAGAATAAGGCAATCCCAAGCATAAAAACAATCAAAATATGCATATGGTTGTGTTTAAATATATATACTTATTTTACTTTGGGTAAAACAATCTAGTTGCTATAAAGGATTGTTCACTTACATTTTCCGTACACACTTCTAAATATCTGTTATTACCACGGGCACACTCAACAAAAGTGAATGAGAATTGTGACGCGTGATATTAACACTGGCTTCTTCATTTGTATCTCTTTTGATGGACCAATCGCATTACTACTTCTTTATGATGGACCAATCGCATTCCTAATTAGTGAACTAAAGAGAAAAGGCGGCAAAGCAAAGGCCACTCCTTTGAAGATTTCCAACTGCCGGAGAAAATTTCAGTTGTGTTGTTTGGTAGGGAAGTTACAGAATTTTTGGTAAGAGTTTCGTCTTCTACAAAAACATTAAAATGATCTCTGAACCGATCCGAGTAGGCTGTTGCTGATATTTTTGTAGAAAAACTAACAAAAGGTAGCATGTTTTATTTTTTGCTGATAAAAGTAATTTCCAAAGTCAGCATACTTGACATCGACTGGAAAATGCAACAGCTTTGTGACGTATTTTGTTATTCAACGATGACGCACAGAATGTCGGTTTGGCAGATTTCAAATCAAAAATTTTAATATTGTTTTGCAGTGATTGAAGAAACAAAACACGATAAACTGATTTTATTTCTATTGTTTGTGTCGAAGAACGATTAACCCTTGGTGCACGCATTTGCATGCGTCATCGTCATTCATCGACAAACTAGCTATGAAACAAAAGACAATGTCAGCTGTCAAGTTTGAAGACATTGTAAATCACTAAAAAAATAATATGTTGCAAAAAAATAAACATATTCATAGGTTCGAAATTTAAATAATGTAGGAGAATATAATAATAGCACGAAAAATCAAAACTCCAGAATAGTGTTGGTGTTTTAAAGTTATTTGTCAATAAAACATTACAATTTGAGAAACACGACGATTTTTAAGCGCAAACATGTTTCGACATCAGAACGACATCTTTCGATGACAAACATGTTTCGACATCAGAATGACATCTTTATTGTAAAATGGTCAGGGTTAACACGTGATTTTAATATATTCCTTCATGGTTGGTGAGTGCGTACGATTTTTATGCACGAGTAGAAGAGGATTGAAAACAAACGAGTGAGCGTAGCGAACGAGCGCTAATAAAAATCGTACAAATGAAGCGTGCAAGTGTCCATTTTGATCTCGTACATACAACATACAATTTCGCAACTGGTACTAATATATTCTAGGATGTCCTTACTTTCTGACTTTTGTTGCCCTTCAACGTCTTTTAACACAAGTTAATAAAGCTATCTTACCAGAAAGATAGCTTTATTAGACATAGACAGAAAGAGACAGAGCTCTAATTTGCTTTTAAAAGTAGCTGACCTCACTCCTATCGTAGAAATGACTCATCATAGTGAAGTACAAATACAAAATAGCGTAACTATACGATGCTTCGACTTTGAATCTAATCTATTTCATTCTTTTCTATTCTTTAAAGAATGTGACTGTTTCGCCCAATATCAGGGCTCATCAGCATGCCTAGGAACCACACCGCGATAGGGTGGTGCAATTCCGACATGGACAGCCGCATTTTCTCGTGATATAATACGAGACGTCTCTCAGCGCATTAGAGCAGCCAGTTGCGTTGTCTGACATTTCTGCAGCAACGGCGCATTAGAGCAGCCAGTTGCGTTGTCTGACATTTCTGCAGCAACGGCGCATTAGAGCAGCCAGTTGCGTTGTCTGACATTTCTGCAGCAACGGCGCATTAGAGCAGCCAGTTGCGTTGTGACATTTCTGCAGCAACGGCGCATTAGAGCAGCCAGTTGCGTTGTCTGACATTTCTGCAGCAACGGCGCATTAGAGCAGCCAGTTGCGTTGTCTGACATTTCTGCAGCAACGGCGCATTAGAGCAGCCAGTTGTGCATCAACAATGAATTTATCGGTATATGCAAGACATACAGTTAGTTTCTTCATTAATTGATTTTTCATAAAGCGGTAACAATACATGTGTTTGTGAGATGTGTTTGCTCGTCGTTGAAAAGAACATAACAAACGTACTCACCACAATTATGATATTCCAATGTAAAGCTATAAGTTTGATTTAATGAAACAATGTTATCATTGTGTTTCCATTGGAACTGTCTAGGTATTTCCCCATTACAAAAACATTTAAGAGTTACGAGACGACCGACATTTTGCTTGTAAGACGTTGGTATTTGACAACATCTAACGTCACGAGGAAATATTGTTTTTGAAATGAAAAGGAGTTCATTAATGTACAGCTCATTAGCAATTATTGGTCGCAATGCGTTTATCAAAAAAATATTTGGACTATGATCATATAAGCCCATTCTATAACGAGCATAAGCCAGGACAAAAACACCACAGCTAATGGCATCATTCTGCGCTGGAAATTTGTCTTCCCAATGCGCCGAGAATTCCGACACGAAATTTTTGTTTGCTATTTCGATACATTGACCTCTCATTCGGTAAAGTTCTTTGAAGTAAAATTTTATATTATCTACCAATGTTAGATATTGACTGCCTCTTGCCATTGGGTCGTACAAATAAATGCAACATTCAACAGTGTTGATTATTGCCATACACCAGTGACTACCTTGTCCAACATTTATAGGAATTGCAATCACGTCGTAAAGATGAAACAAAACACCTCGGTAGTGCCTCCTTAACATTTCATGAAAGCGCTCTTTATTGTTCGGCTGGCGTACGGATCGAAGTTTTGTCATGAATTGTGTCGTGAATGCAAAACTACGCAATCCAAACTTTTCCGTATTTTTTGTTAGCAATAGAAGGTAACAATTTATAACCTCATCATTGAGCCATCCAGGGTTGGAAAGAACATATGTATCGTTTGAAAAACCCTTTTCCAAAGGTTCAAGAGTTTTGATATCTTTTCCCAGAAGATTGTATCCGTGTGTTTTAAATGAAGCAACACGTTCATTTCTTACATTGAGATCACAAAGTGAGTGAAATACCTTGCACATTTTCTTATATTTTGTGCAATTGACGGAGGCAAACTATCGACCTTTGATTGGACATCTCTACTATTCGTTTGTGCGGTTGGCGCACTTGTGCTATGAACAGAGCCCACAAAATTTGGTGAGCTTGTACTTCGGGGTATGTCCTCATTGTCACTATCATCGCTGAGTTGGGTTGACGACTGTCGTTCGTCTCCATAACCTTTGTCACTAAAATTTTCAGCGGAGTAAAAGGCTATGTACGCATAAGTTGACACCTTTTGCTTCCACTTTTGTGATATATCAGAGACGAATGTATCGTCGACCTCATAAACTCTTCCATCTTTGAATATTACAGCTGTGTAATGGCCAACGTCAATACCTGAGCCGTAATGCAATGCACATGAGGATAATTTATAAGTGGCCGATGCACCATCATTCTGCAATGTTAATTTTAATGGCAGTGGAACTCTCTGACAACTCTTCGTAACTCCTGACCCATTTGAAACAAATCTTTTGAAACCAAGGCATAAAATTTTAGGCAGTGTTTTGAGTTCACCTATGCGAACGTGATTCGTCCTCACACTGCATGTGCTACAGTGTGTAAATACAGAATCGATTAAACTCTCTTCGATTTTTCTGTTAAGGTTTTGTTGCCATTGTCAACGGAAGCAAAAAGCGTCATGAAGGTTTCCTCATCATGCAACCGAGTTTTTCCACATACATCACAAATTTTTCTATATTTGTACGTTCCTCTAAAGGAGCCTGCGTCACAATGTTCATGCAAAACTATAAAACTCTCGTGAATATCGTGTTGTTGGCCACTCGCATAACCAAAATACTTATTAAAAATGTCGTGCAGCTGTTGTGGATACAAAGGTTTGTCATTCGTGTTTTTTAATATTCGCAAGGTTTTATTCAGTACTTTCACTACAGTTGGATTACATTTTGTCGTTGTTTCGGGGTATTCAACTTTTAATGCATGCAAACATTGCAGAAGACTGTTCAACCAGCAATCGTTACCCTTATTGATTAAACCTCTTGTTAATTCTTTTCTTAGCAAAGACACGTGCATCTTGTGCGACGTACCAATGGATTTGCTGGATTTCGTACGCTCGCTGTCTTTACTTTGTTTGTTTTTCGTCAACATACTTGTATCCTTGAAGCGGAACTTGTCCTCTGCCGACATATCTAGCCATAATTTAGCTGC